TATAGAGTAACTTCCTGACATTGCCATGGCATTTGTAAACTGTCATGACCCTGGTGGGAGTGCAGCAGTGAGAACGCCCAGAGGTCACTCTCATTGCCATCTCGGTTTTGGTGGATTTTAGCTGGCTTCTTTACTGCAACCTGCTTTATCAACAAGGTCTTTATGACCTATATCTTGTGCTGATCACCTATCTCATCCTGTGACTTAGAACACCTTAATTGTCTGGGATGCAGCCCAGTAGGTCTCAGCCTCATTTTACCCAGTTCCTATTCAAGATGGAGTCGCTCTGGTTCAAACGCCTCTGACACAGATACAAGTAAATACACACACACACACACACACACAAATTTTTTTCTTACATAACAGTAAGCGTGATACACTTATTCTACACTTTGATATTCAACAAACAAATATTTCATATTTATGCAAAATGAAGTTTCTAATTCTTTTTGACAGCTCTGTACCTGCTGATGGGCAAGTTATGATTACTGCAAACAATACTGGGTGAATTACATTGGATGGATGGGTCATTTCATACATGCACAGACGTGTTGAATTAAAATTCTATTTCCCCAATCTTTGAAGTTGGTGTGGACTTGCAACTTGGTTTGGGTAACAGAATGTGGTAGAAGTCACGTCCAAATTCTGAGCAAGGACTCAAGATTTCGTTACTGCTTCCACTTTCACTTTCCTGGAACCCTGAGGCCACTATGCTAAGAAGAAACCCAGGATGGAATGTAACATGCTGGGAGTGGCTCAACTGTTCCCGCCAACCTAGTCTCAGAGCTAAAATAGCAGACAACAGGTGAGTGAGGCCATCTTGGGCCATCTAGCCCCAGCCGCGGTGCCAGCTGACTGCAGCCACTTACATAATACAAGCCACCCAGCCCCTCTCAGAATGTGGAGAAACAATACATCGTTGTTTATCTCAGTAAGAAAACTCAAGGTTTAGGAGTGGTTTTTTATGCAAGAGTAGCTAACTGACAAAAGGAAATCTCTTTCAGATAGATTTTCAGAAGATGACTGGTTCAAAGTGTAAATGCTTGCCGGGTGCAGTGGCTCACGCCTGTAATCCCAGCACTTTGGGAGGCCGAGGGGGGCAGATCACCTGATGTTGGGAGTTTGAGACCAGTCTGACCAACATGGAGAAACCCCGTCTCTACTAAAAATCCAAAATTAGCCAGGCATGGTGGCTCATGGCTGTAATCCCAGCTACTCAGGAGGCTGAGGCAGAGGTTGCGGTGAGCCGAGACTGCACCATTGCACTCCAGCCTGGGCAACAAGAGTGAAATTCTGTCTCAAAACAAAAACAAAAACAAAAAAAACAAAAATGAAAAACAAAGTGTAAACACAGTCGGGCGAAGTGGCCCATGCCTGTCATCCCAGCACTTTAGGAGGCTGAGGCAAGGGGATCGCTTGAGTTTGAGACCAGCCTGGACAACATAGTGAGACCCTGTCTCTACAATTTTTTTTTTTTTTTTTTTGAGACGGAGTCTGGCTCTGTCGCCCAGGCTGGAGTGCAGTGGCCGGATCTCAGCTCACTGCAAGCTCCGCCTCCCTGGTTCACGTCATTCTCCTTCCTCAGCCTCCCGAGTAGCTGGGACTACAGGCGCCCGCCACCTCGCCCGGCTAGTTTTTTGTATTTTTTAGTAGAGATGGGGTTTCACCGTGTTAGCCAGGATGGTCTCCATCTCCTGACCTTGTGATCCACCCGTCTCGGCCTCCCAAAGTGCTGGGATTACAGGCTTGAGCCACCGCAAATAATTTTTAAAATTAGCTCGGTGTGGTGGTGTGTGCTTGTGGTCCCAGCTACTCAGGAGGCTGAGGCAAGAGGGTCACCTAGGCCCAGGAGATCAAGGTTGTAGTGAGCTGTGATTACACCACCGTACTCCCACCTGGGTTAAAGAGTGAGACTCTGTTTAAAACAACAAGAACAAAACAAAATGTAAATGCATTTGTAATTTTGATAAACACTTTCTGGCTTGTATCATTTTCCATTCCCACCAAGAATGGATGAAAGGACCCATCTCCCCACAATCTTGCCAAAAGTGTTTTGCCAGACTTACATCTGTGTATGTGTCTAAGGCCTTATTGTTCTTGTGAACTGTCATGTTCTTCGCCCATTTTTTATTGAACTACCAGTCTTTCTTATCAATATATGAGAGCTCTTTAAATAGTAGGGAGATTAGACCTTTGTATGTGATAAGAACTGCAACTATTTTCCCCAGTTTTTTGGCCTTTTTTTCCCCCAAGACAGTGGGTCTTGCTCTGTCGCCCAGGCAGGAGTGCAGTGGCATGATCTCAGCTCCCTACAGCCTCTGCCTCCACAGTTCAAGCGATTCTTGTGCCTCAGCCTCCCGAGTAGCTGGGGTTACAGGTGTTCACTACCATACCCAGCTATTTTTTGTATTTTTAGTACAGATGGGGTTTCAACATGTTGCCTAGACTGGTCTCCAACTCCTGGCCTCAAGTGATCTTCCCACCTCGACCTCTCATAGTGCTGGGACTATAGGCATGAGCCACTGCACCTGAACAGTTATTTGTCTTTTGATTTTACTTACAATGTTTTTTGCCATGCAGAATTGTTATATGTAGACAAAGGTATTAATCTTTTCTTCTCGTTTCTGAATTCTGAGTTGGAGTTGGGCCTTCCTCACTCCAAAAGTTATAAAAGATTTTGACCATATTTTCTTCTAGTGTTTTATTTATTTATTTATTTATTTATTTATTTTTGAGACAGAGTCTGGAGTGCAGTGGTTCGATCTCGGCTCACTGCAACCTCCATCTCCTGGGTTCAAGTGATTCTCCTGCCTCAGTCTCCTGAGTAGCTGGGACTACACGTGTGTGCCACCAAGCCCGGCTAATTTTTGTGCCAGTGCACTCCACTTAGTAAAGGAGTACTACTCCTTTTAGTAGAGGTGGGATTTCACTATGTTGGCCAAGCTGGTCTCGAACTTCTGACCTCAAATGATCCACCCACCTCGGCCTCCCAGTGTTGGGATTACAGGCACAAACCACTGTGCCCGGCCTCTTCTAGCATTTTAATAGAGTTTATCCAAACAAATTTCATGATCCATCACCTTTAGAATAAAGCCTGGGCAGGCTGGGTGCAGTGGCTGACGCCTGTAATCCCAGCACTTTGGGAGGCCAAGGTGGGTGGATCATCTGAGGCCAGGAGTTTGAGACCAGCCTTGGCAACATAGTGAAATGCTGTCTCTACTAAAAATACAAAAATTAGCCGGGAGTGGTGGGGTGCGCCTGTGTCTGTATTCCCAGCTACTCAGGAGGCTGAGGCAGGAGAATTTCTTAAACCTGGAAGGCAGAAGTTGTAGTGAGGCAAGATTGCACCATTGCACTCCAGCCTGGGCAACAAGAGCGAAACTCTGTTTCAACAACAACAACAAAAGGAATAGGGCTAGGTGCGGTGGCTCATGGCTGTAATCCTAGCACTGTGGGAGGCCGAGGTGGGCTGATCACCTGAGGTCGGGAGTTTGAGACCAGCCTCACCAATGTGGAGAAATCCTGTCTCTACTAAAAAATACAAAACTAGCCAGGCGTAGTGGTGCATGCCTGTAATCCCAGCTACTCAGGAGGCTGAGGCAGGAGAATTGCTTGAACCCAGGAGGCAGAGATTGCGGTGAGCCGAGATTGCACCACTGCACTCCAGCCTGGGAAACAAGAGCAAAACTCTGTCTTGGGCCGGGCGCGGTGGCTCACACTTGTAATCCCAGCACTTTGGGAGGCCAAGGCGGGCAGATCATGAGGTCAGGAGATTGAGACCATCCTGGCTACTAAAAATACAAAGAATTAGCCGGGCGTGGTGGCGGGCGCCTGTAGTCCCAGCTACCTGGGAGGCTGAGGCAGGAGAATGGCATGAACCCGGAAGGTGGAGCTTACAGTGAGCTGAGATTACGCCACTGCACTCCAGCCTGGGTGACAGAGCGAGACTCCGTCTCAAAAAAAAAAAAAGTTCAGGGCCAAAATTACGACATGGGTGACCCAATTGTAAAATTATGACAGTGTCATCCACGTGGATGGGAAACAGGAGGAAGAATCGCTGGCTCAGGAGGTTCTCAGCAGGAGGCAGTGCTTCCTGTCTGGGACACTTTCAGCTTAAAATGTCTGTGGGACCTCCAGGAGGCAGGTAGATTCAAGGGTCTAGAGTTAGGAGAAATTTGGGGCTGGAGATAGGGACTTGGAGGCTAGCATATGGTTATTCAAAGCCACAAGAGTATGTAAATAGTTTGAGGAAGAGAGGGTCTCAGATGAAACTCTAGGGAGTGGTCAAGTTTAAGCCCAAAACATGCCCATGGGGAGCGAGCTATGGGGGCACATCGTCTCCGTGGCCCTTAGGACTTGCCACAGAAACAGCCTCAGAGATGTCTGCAGGGTGAACTGCAGCCCTTACTTGAGTCATGTGTGGATATCTTTGGCTGCTTGGGACACAGCTCATAGGGAGAAGGGGGAGGACCAATAACCTTGCCGCAGTCAGCCCCAACCCAGTGGTGTGGGAGAGACCTGAGACTGGGGCAGGGGGAGGCTCAGTGGGTACAAGTCTGCCCCTCTTCCCCCAGACAGTCTGAAGCAGGATATCAATAGGTGGCACCAAGTCCCCAAGGTTGGGTGGAACACAGGGAGCCACCCGAGTTGGTATTTCCCTAAGACCACAGTGCAGTGGTTAGGAGTACAAACTGTATGGGCCGGGAGTGGTGGCTCAAGCCTGTAATCCCAGCACTTTGGGAATCCCAGGTGGGAGGACTGCTTGAGGCCAGGAGTTTGAAACCAGCCTGGACAACATAATGAGACCCCATTTGTACAAAAAAATAAAACAATTAGCCAGACATAGTGGCACTCGTCTATGGTCCCAGCCGAGGTGAAAGGATCCCTTGAGCCCAGGAATTCAAGGCTTCAGTGAGGCATAATTTTGCACCACTGAACTCCAGCCTGGGCGACAGAGCAAGACCCTGTCTCAATATCAATAACAACAAAAGGATATCAACTGCGGAGCTCCAGCATCTGGGTTAAAATCCCGGCTGTATCCTTTACTGGCTGTGTAACCTCAGGCAAGTTCCTCAACTTCTCTGTGCCTCCACTCCTTCCTCTATAAAATGAGGACAGTAATAGTACCTCTCTCATAAAACTGTTATGAGATTAAATGAGTTAATATTTATAAAGTGCTTTATAAATATTGAATAAGAAATAATTTCATTCATTTGTAAATATTTGTCAAGTAGCTACTGTGTACCAGGCTCTGTTGTAGGTGCTGGGGGCGCAGCAGGGGGTAAGGCAGGTGAAAACCCTTGTCCTATGGAGCTTACATTCTAGTTGACGGGGGAGTGGTGATAACAAAACAAACTCACACATACGGCTGCGGGGCCGGTGGCTCCCACCTGTAATCCCAGCCTTTGGGAGGCTGAGGGTGGGCAAAGCTCACCTGAGGATCGGAGTTTGAGATGCGCGCCTGGCCAACCATGGAGACACCCTGTCTCTACTAAAAATCGCCAACATTTCCGCCGGGTGTGGTGGCGCACGCCTATAATGCCCGCTACTGTGAGGAGGCTGAGGAAAGAGAATTGCTTCAACCTGGAGGCCGCGGTTGCGTGCGCCAAGATCATGCCACTGCCCTCCAGCCTGGGAGCCAGAATGAGCCTCTGTCTCAAAAAATAAGTAAATCAATACAAAATCCAAATCAAAAAAATATTAGCTGGGTTGTGGTGGCGTGGCCCTGTAGTTCCGTTCCTTGGGGAGGCATGGGACCCGGAGGCTTGGTTTGAGGCCAGTAGTTACAGCCTGCAGTGCGCTCTTGTGGCCATGTGCCAGTGCACTTCATCCTGGGTGAAACAGAGTGGGCCCACTGGCGTCTCGTCTCAGCATTTTTTTTTTTTTTTTTTTTTTTTTTTTCCGAGCTTGGCGTGCTTGCATCATGTTGCCCAGCGG